TCTATAATAATATGAAAGAAATGTTTTAATAGGTTGTGAGATTTGTTTGTGATGTTATGTTGTATTAATTGTCCATTAGCAGCTACTTATAATATGCTGGGACGGTCAGCTGAGCAACAAGACTGCAGCACATATCAATTCTTACAAGGATGCGTGTCCTCGCGTCCTTCCGAATTCGTTCTTTCAAGGTCGCCTGGCAAGACCGGTCTCCATGAGAACGCAAGTGCGTTCTTTGCGTTTTTGGATTTGAGAAACAGCCTCAGTCTCTTTGAACCACAACTTTCCGAGAGCTTACTATGCTCTGATTGGTCAGATGGCCCAGTATGTTGTGATTGGTCTACTGCTTACAGCGCATGTTGGACACAAAACTCCTATTACCATATCAGAATCTCAGCTCCGGAGTTTTCCTCAGCGCTTGATACACAGTAATACAACGATGGCGTCGGTTTTACCATATCAACTCCAGCATGAGTCCTCATCCTCTTGAAGTGCACGCAAAGTTGATTGAAAACAGCACCTTCTCGACATGTCGCTAATATGAACTTAACTCTTCCAGACCTCAGCTACAATTAAAAGGTCAAAGTAGACGTTGTTCGCCTATAGAGATCATAGACTGGCATAATGAAAATTGTGTTACATTGTTATGCAAGTATGTAACAGTAAGTGAAACTGGAATTGCTGACGACTCCTTTCAGTAGTTCCGAATCGATTCTTTGTTTTAGGAGACAATAACTTTATTTGTAATACACTTTGATCTATAAAACTTTGCTAGCAAACTAACAAAATGCTTTTATCTTAAAGTCCCCCTGTGGTGAAAATCCAGCTTTTAATGTTGTTTATATGTCTATGTGCTGTTTTTAATATTTTTAATATGAATTTACACATGGTTTGTCTCAAAGCATAAGTCAACACCATTGCTAAGTATTTTCTACTTACAACTGCAGTGAACCAAAGACAGTTTTAAAAAACGCGGTTTGAAATCGCTGGTGTTTCTGACGTCACAAACTACCTTATAAGTTAACCAATCAGATCAACGTGCAGGTGGGCTTTAGCATATCATTAACAGCGAACTAGCAGGGGAGTCTCAAAAGATTCCAGGTTATCCCGAAATGTGTTTTGTTGATTTTTGTTATGATGTATATTACGATTGTATGATGTATGATGCCTTTCCGGTATATATTTTTGTTATGATGTATAATATTACGATTGTATGATGCCTTTCTTGTTGTTCAAAGCGTTTCTGATGATTGGCGAACTGATAGGGCAGACTGAGATGGCGAATGGGAACATAGTTTGTGTAACATTAGCAACACACTATTAGCTGTTTGATAACATAGTCAAGCAAAAAAACTAATATTAATTTCCATTAAAGCTGCTCCTCTTTGTCGCCATCTCTGTTCGAAATCTGCAATTGCAGTCATTCGCGGAATTATCAACTTTACGTGAGTTGTACTTCGACACCCTCGACATGGCACAGCGCGGATGAACACAATGTTTGAGGAGACTGTGAGGCTGTCAGTCACCGCACCGGTGTGGATACTGGCATTCAGAATCACATTATTTTTGGAAGTATGACCAACATAATCATTTTCACCGGAAAATGTCATCTGAACTAGTAAGAAACATCCACTTTTGTTCTGATTCTGACATTGCAGTAAATCGCGCTGATTAAATCTAACAATCGCTTATAAGTTATCATATCACACAAAACCGTGCAAATTATACTTTGTTCTCAAATTGTTAATGTTAACAGCGTCAGCATTGCGTGACTACATGTAATGTCCTTCCGATATGTATCCTTGTTTTCGCATGGGCCGGTTGCAGTCTCTTTTTTTCTGTAAAACGTTAGCCACTCCGAAGTCCGAACGAAGTCTTTTGCATTTTACAGCGGGTGAATCTGTTGTCACTGGTGATTGTCGTTTGAACCTTTCTGGATCCGCCATCAAATTGAGAAAAGGCTATAAATCTCCACCTAAAACAACCTCACACGGAATATAGCCTACTAGCCGAGAAATAGTTACAAATTGCTATGAAACTGCATTGGGCACATCATTCTCCATTCAACATTCAAACAGAATGTCACATTCTGGTAAGGTAAAACTCTGTAAAACTCTCTTCAAAATGTTCTAACATTCTTTTTACGCATAAACTGAACATAGAGGCCTGTGCTTTTGTTTAAAAAGACTGTATTTTGCTGGATATTTTTGGTGATTCTGAATGATGTGGTTTACCAATTCACCAATCCATAAACTGACACTCACATTTTTACCAGCTAACACACACATTCTACCCTCCTTTTCTCAGCTTTCAGAGGCAGAAATTTCCAAACTCCTCCTTTCCAATTGCCCTACTACCTGTCCGCTTGATCCTATTCCCACTAATCTACTTCAAGCCACAACACTGATGGAAGCACTGAAAGTTAAAGGTTTAAAAATATGTCCTATTTTAATAAAGGATATTGCCTAAGAGATGGGTTGTAACTAGCTCAATTATAAAGCCAGATTCCCCCCCCCCCCAATTTTTTTTGCAGCAATGCCATATAAGAACTATTTTGGGTTTTTCAAAGATCCTAACAGTAAACAGTAGGGGTGTAACCAGGGGTTGAAGTGGGCCGGAACGGTCCGGAACTGTGTTCCGGCACCTCAGATATATGAATAAATAAATAGATTCATTAATCTCAACGAATCTCGCTGGTCCCGAGATGGGCCGACCGACCGACCGACCTCCCTTCCTCCCCACTGAACGCGAGCGATTACAAATGCGTGAAATGCACTCACGGTGGTTGAGCGCAGTAAAGTTAGTTTTAGGTTCGATATTTCGCTGGACATTTGGTTTCCCTTGCCACTGTTCTATAGGGTCGGCACGCAGTCTTACAAAGATATCAATAGCAGGATTAGTTTTAACATTATGTAACCATTGTACATCGACATTAAATATATATAGTAATGTGGGCTGGTGGTGTGGCTACAGTGCCAGGGCTCAATTTTTGTCCCAGTGTTCAGCAATTTTAACATATATCGTCATCATATCAGTGTTGATGGACCAAAATAAAACCATTAAAATATCAAGTAAATCAGTATTGTGATACTTGGTGCCAGTGACACTCTTGTCCCAAAAAGTATTGCTATACCACGATACTCAATATGTTGTCCCACGGTGAGACATTTTTCCCTGTTGCACCTACACAAAATTTGAGGGTTCCCCCACCTGCCAAATCCCACTTTAACCACTGGGTGTAACAGTACATGTTTTCTTCCCAAACCTTCACGGTACAGATGTCAGAGTTCGGTGCATATAGTCAGACAACGAAAACAGTCAGTCACAGGCGATCCACACTCTAATCCAGAAGGGGGCACGCGTAATGCAACACTGTTTGCTAACCGCCACAACAACAAGAGACGTGCACCAACCCAAAACAAGAGTTCAGATGGCACGCAAGAGCTTGCTGTGGGGCTGCAAAAAAGCCACTGTTTCGATTATTTTTTAAAAATTGAAACACACTCCACTAACTTCATGAAAAAGGAAACCGGGATGGCAGAAAGAGGCATCCTGTCTGCTTTCTTTATTTTACAAAAGCACAATGTTTCGTTTTTATTGTGAGCGTTGAGTGTACACAAATAAAAATAGACTGAACCGACTCTCTTAAGGGGGGACTAAATGCCGGTAGGTGGAACAAACTGTAATTGGGGATATGTTGCTTTTTGTACCGAACTCATATCGAAACGTGACCCCAAAACCAAGGTACGTACCGAACCGTGATGTACCGTTACACCCCTAGTAAACACTTCTTAAAATAACCATTTTCCTCACTGTGAAGAACATTTCAATAATAAGAAAAAACGTTTTACACCTTAAAGAGCCTTTTGTGCAATCAAGGTTCAGTGGATGTTAAAACTTCTTCAAAGAACCACAGATGCCAATAAAGAAAAATTGTAATCATGTAGATGATTTTGATGAATGAACTGTTGAGTTATATCATAAAGCTTTGGGCTTTGAACACTGACCACCAGGCTCACAATCCTGCTGAGAGTTTAGAAACAGTGGGTATGTCCTGGTCAAATGTGTCCTTGTGTGAAGTGTCAAATATCAATGGAAATGGCACTATGCCAAAACAGTTTGATACCTCCACCAACCTCTAAAACCTTCAAAGAGAAGGTTTCTTTATTCATTAAAGAAAATGAATAACAGATTAAACAAATGGGTTACATTTAGGCAGTGGTTTCTGAAGGGTAGCAATTTTGTTCCTGCTTGGGTCACAGAGAGGAGGGGATACAAATGCAACTGACCATTTGGCTAATTGTCCATTTAGCATAGCAAATAGGCTGTGCTGTGCAAGTGCTCAAGAGGGCAGGTCCAAATCCAGCCCGTGTCCCAATCACATTCTCCTCCTCCACTTACCTGTCCAGTTTCACTGTTTTCAATTGAAATAATACAACACTGTTTTTTTGTTTGTTTTTTTCAACTGTAAAATGCTAGTTAAAACCTGCTAATTGGTTAACAGTAACTTCCCTTAGGCTACTATATACGGGAAAACTGTAATAGATCAAGTCTTACATTTCATCTAATTCTTCAGTAAAATATTGTTAAATGTACCGTTTTTGCATGCAAAAAGAACAAATAATAATAATTTACAGTGAAAAGCTGTAAACTGACATAATATGAGTTTGCTGGGTTTTTTTCTTCATTTTAATAATTATGTTTCTTCTTAGTTTTTTGTTATCAGTTATGTACATTGAGCTGTATGTTACATCTTATGTTGTTAAATTTATGTTCATTGCATTATTTTAGTGTCATGTGATGATGGTGTTTTGTTTTGCACCGTATGCATTGCAAACTGACAGTAGCTAACTGACTGCGTTGAGCCACTGTGATGTTAAATGGGCAATTACATCTAGAACATAGAATAAAGAACAAACCAATAATAAAAAAAAAAACACTGAGCAATTGTACTGTACAATGTCCTCCTGTAGCAGCTAATCCATCTGAAACACACGGCTTACCTTGTGCCTTTATCACCCATCGCGAGGACCTGCGTGTTCCACAGAAACTCTTCTGCTAGTGTGGAAAAAGATGAGGGGTTGTCGAGAAAAGAGAGGGGGGCAGAGCCGATGGAAAACAGGAGGATGGAGAGAAAGACTGAAAGAAAGATAATTTACTACGCTGCGTTATAGAACCGCTGTCACTTAGGCAGCTCTCCTTGCGGTTTGAGAGCTTTCCAGATGAATCCAATTAAAGGAGCATCTTCCACTGCCGCTTGCCAACAGACAAACCCCGCGTTTCCAAATAAAACAAGCGAAAGCCGGCGATTCTTCGCTGCCTTCCTGTTCTGCTCTGGTTTAAGAGTCCTTCAGGTGGGAATTTATAATAAAAAAATAAATGCTGTTGTGTAGATCCTAAAGCTATAGAAGCGTCCGTTTGATATCCACACTGCCTCCGTCTACCAGAGCTCTCACCCTCCCTTCCGCTGTGCGTATTCTCTCTCCTTCTCTCACTAACATACACTCACTGTCTCTCCTCCTCACTGGGTGTGTGAGGGTATGTGTGTGTGCGGGTGCTGAGTTGAGGTGAGTGGGTGATGATGATACTCTCCAACGCAGAGCAGATATAATTCTCAGCTCGCCATCACTGTGTGAAACGAGCGCGCGCGCTGTCTGTCGCCGAGGCGACGGATGAAGCATTATTTAAATCTTGACTTTGACATAATTTAAAGTGGGGTCGCATTTCAGTTCTAAACTCCCTTAGCAATAAATCAATATTGGACAGGATAAAGCATACAATCAGCCATTGAGTGGGTTTAAGATGGTTTTATTAATTGAGAAAATCATCCGAGATTTTTATCACGTGAGTGTTTATCGAGTGTTTATCACGTTTTTTTTTTTTTAAAGAGTTGTTACTGGCAGCCTAAAGTATCAGTATCAAGTTATAAATTCGTTTCATTCAGGAACTGAAATTAAGATTTCTAAAAAATAAAAATAAAAAGATCATCAACCCAATGGGTTACATTGCTATGGAAGTTTGTTTCCGCCACAAAAAAAAAAAAAAAGGAAGTTATGACTTTTGATCTTACAATTCAGTGTTTTTCTCTCAAAGTTGTGTGAAATAAACTTGCAATTGCGAGAAAAAAGTCAGAATTGCGATAAAAAATTAAGAATTGCGAGAAAAAAGAATTACGTGAAAAAAGTTAGAATTGCATAATATAAAATCGCAATTGCGAATTATAAAGTCAGAATTGCGAGACATTTTTCTCACAATTCACCCTTTCGCTGGGAGTTTGATTGACAGGCGATCTGACCAATCATAATCCCGCCATCCGCCATTTTGTCCGACTAAGCAGTCAGGAGAGTTAAGCCTAGTTCACACCACATGATTTTAAGCCCGATTTAAGACCGATTTGCAAATCGTTGAGCTCGCCGACAGGTCATGGTGTTATCGCGTGCAAATCGCAGGGGATTAGGCATGTTCGCGCGTTGTGTTCTTCTTCGTCTTCTTCGCTGGGTATTGGCGCGCGTGCTGTTTCGCATCATTTCCGGTTCGTTTTATCGCGTGATTTTTCGTGACAAAACGTGGTTTGTAGACAATATAGAATCGTTGGGTGACAGAGTTGTTGTCAACTCGTGTAGTGCGTTACCTCCTGTTGAGGATCAATCACGTTGTGTCGTGTGGTGTGAACTAGCTCAACAACTTGAACACTCCTGATTTCACAGAGAGCAAGTCATGTAGTGTGAACCGCACAGTTCAGCCCGTTTTAAAATCATGTAGTGTGAACTAGGCTTTAGTAGATTAACGCCGGTGAACTTGAACTTGAAAAACGGTGTGTACTGATGTCTTTCCGCGGTTGAAACAACATTCTTTCTGATGTTCATTCATGTTTATTTGATACTATAAATGAACTAAGGATTGATCGGTTCACAAGCAGCTTTAACTGAGGTGCTACAGCGATCTGTCATGATGACACATTAAACTAAAGAGTCACAAAACGGTAATTATTGTTAAAATTTCTTAACGAAAAGACAATATTTGAAAGCTGAGACTTTGTTTCATATCAAAAGTAACCTGCTCTGTCCTGTCTGTCGCGCGTTGTCCATGTCCTCTCTGTTCCACGATGTATATATATTGAGAACTAATGTGTACTGTGTAGCGTGAGAGTGCTGTGGCTTGTCGGACGTATAGCAACAGTATAAAGAGGGCAGGTCTTTAAATGGTCAATTGCGAGTTTATAGCCCCTTTCACACAGCAATCCTGGTAAATTACCGCAAAATTATCAGAATGACTTTACCGGTAAATGTACAAATATGCTGTTCACACAAGCAACGGCGCTCTAGCTTTTTACCGGTAAGAGACCATTCACACATCAGCAGCAAAATACAGGTAAATTCTGTGATGTCAGTCATCAGATATTATCTTTAATCGCAGTGCCGTTGTCTTCATCCGATCATCAAAGATGATCATTTAGCGCATATTTAAATAGAAAACATAATAAAAAGTTTACTGTAAACAGCGCAGAGTAATCATATCATCTTCATAAGTATTGCAGACTTCTTACGTCAGCACATTATGACTTTGTAGGTGATCATACCGGTAATCTTCATTCCACGTTCACACAGAGCACATTACCGGAAATTTACTGGTAATGTTACAACTTCCCTTACTGGTAAAATGCCGGAACCAATTTACCGGTATTTTTGAAAAGGTCCTGTTCACACATGATCTGTTACCAGTAATTTACCGGTAAATTACCAGTAAAGACTGTAAGTGTGAAAGGCTTATATCTCCAATTCAGATTTTTTTCTGCAATTATGAAATTTTTTTCTCAGAATTGCGTGATATAAACTCATAATTCTGAGAAAAAAAGTCAGAATTGCGAGATGGAAAGTCACAATTGCGAGAAAAAACTGTCGCAATTACCTCTTTCATTTTTTATTCTGTGGCGGAAACAAGCTTCCATATAATTGTCATGATTCTGCCATCTTGTCTTTGATTTCACTGGTCTTGTGGCAGGATCATGGCAGACCCATGTTTTATGTACAAGCGCATGGTCTGTTATTTGGACCATGTGCTTGTGTTGTCTCGTCTCGTTACCCCGCCCCCTTGTTATCCTCGTCTTGTGATTATTGTCTAGTCAGTTTCACCTGTCCTCGTCATTAGTGTTCCCTATTTAATCCTCTTGTATCTGCTGTCTTTTGTCGCTTCATTGTGATTGTTATCTGAGTGTTAATCCTTGGTCAGAGTCTGTGAGTATCTTGTCAAGAGTTTTAGTCCTGTTGCGCTATTGCCTGTAAAGATGATTTGTGTTCTTATAGTTATCTGTCTCAGTCTAGTTAGTCTTCATAGTCCTGTCTTGTTTTGCCCCCTCGTGGGTTTTGTTTTCCTGTTTTTTGTATCAATAAATCCTGTGTTCATTGCATCAGCTGTCTGCGCTTGGGTTCACCTTCCTCCACATAACAGAATGAACCGACCACGAACGAACCCAGCAGACAGTATGTCCTCCCGACCCCGGCTACAACCGGAACAATGGTGGTTATCGGCTCCCACCGATGAAGAGAGGGTGGATTGTCCGGTCCCGTCCCAGGGTGAGTGGATCCTGAAGAATTATGCCCGACTCTGGGATCATTACTCCGGGAGGGTCCGCTGTCTTCTTCCTCGGGGTCTCCACCCTCTGCCTGTCTGCCAGTGATCCCGGAGGGTCGTGTTTTGGCCGTCATCTCTCAAGGGGATCAGGCTCTCTCCGTTTCTTCTCCCGAGGTTTCATCCACACCCGCAAGTCTCCGTGGAAAACGAGGGAGACGGATTTCCTGGGAGTCTGCTTCGGAGTCTTAAGCGATGGAGTCTTCCCTGCCTGAGACAGCCCTCCCACTTCCAGTCATGGACCCTGCTGCGCTTCTTCTGCCGATCACCAGTCCAGCTGTGACATCAGCTCCGCGTCCCAGAAGGAAGAGGAGGAGGAAGGGACCCTCTTGTCCTCCGTCTCTGTCTTCCCATGAGCCCGCTCCAGCAAGCGCCGTCCATGAGCCCGCCCCAGCAAGCGCCGTCCATGAGGCCGCCCCAGCAAGCGCCGCCCCAGAGGCCGCCCCAGCAAGCGCCGCCCCAGAGGCCGCCCCAGCAAGCGCCGTCCCAGAGGCCGCCCCAGCAAGCGCCGTCCCAGAGGCCGCCCCAGCAAGCGCCGTCCCAGAGGCCGCCCCAGCAAGCGCCGTCCCAGAGGCCGCCCCAGCAAGCGCCGTCCCAGAGCCCGCCTCAGCAAGCGCCGTCCCAGAGCCCGCCTCAGCAAGCGCCGTCCCAGAGCCCGCCTCAGCAAGCGCCGTCCCAGAGCCCGCCTCAGCAAGCGCCGTCCCAGAGCCCGCCTCAGCAAGCGCCGTCCCAGAGCCCGCCTCAGCAAGCGCCGTCCCAGAGCCCGCCTCAGCAAGCGCCGTCCCAGAGCCCGCCTCAGCAAGCGCCGTCCCAGAGCCCGCCTCAGCAAGCGCCGTCCCAGAGCCCGCCGAGAGAGTTGCGGCCGATCTAGCCGCTAAGGAGGTTCTGCGAGCAGTTTCAGCTCGTCAGGAGATGCCCGTCATCATTGCGGCCAAGACCCTTTCCGATTACCTGTCTCGTCGCTATTCTTGAACCCCCTGTCTGTCCTGCCTTGTCCTCAGCTCCCAAGCCTGTCTCTGTGAGCGCTGCACCCGAGCCTGCCGCTGTTATTGCTGCACCCTGTCCTGCCCCTTTGCCTGCTATGTCTCACGTCAGGAGTCCCGGTTCCGCATCCTCTGTGTCCTCGTCTGAATCTGTTGCTGCTAATTCCCGGTCTGTTTCCCCGTTCGTCCCTGTCTCCACCAGCCCCTGGACTGTTTCCCCATCTGTCCCTGTTTCCACTAGCCCCCGGACTGTTTCCCCGTTTGTCCCTGTTTCCACTAGCCCCCGGACTGTTTCACCGTTCGTTCCTGTCTCCACTTGTCCCCGGACTGTTTCCCCTGTCACCATTAAACCCCGGACTGTTTCTCCCAAGACCTCTACTCATGTGTCCCCGTCCAAGCCTGCCCGGAGTTCTCGTCCTCAGCCCTCCTCCCGTGGACCCAAGACCCCCAGTCCTCCCATCCACCCTGGACCTCCCCCCATGAACTCTGTGTTTCCTCCACCTCCTTTGCCTTGTATGTTGTTTTTGATTTTTCACCCGAACCCCGTTATTGTTTATTCCTGTTTGCCATTGTTAGTGTTTTCCATGTTTTGTTGGTGTTTATCTATGTCACAGTCTGTCTTGTCTTGTGTTTAGTTTCCCCTTGAGGAGCGTCTGGAAGCCGCTCCTTAAGGTGGGGGTTCTGTCATGATTCTGCCATCTTGTCTTTGATTTCACTGGTCTTGTGGCAGGATCATGGCAGACCCATGTTTTATGTACAAGCGCATGGTCTGTTATTTGGACCATGTGCTTGTGTTGTCTCGTCTCGTTACCCCGCCCCCTTGTTATCCTCGTCTTGTGATTATTGTCTAGTCAGTTTCACCTGTCCTCGTCATTAGTG